TATTCTTCAAGAAACTGATTGCAAGAAACTACAATAGGGAAAAAGAAAAATAAAATATTTAAAAATGCACAAATGTGCATATATCAAAAAAAAGAAAAAAAAGAAAAAAAAAAAGTGCTTTATGTTCTTCAAAAGATCTCTACTAAAAATTTTCTCTCATTAGAAACCAACTCTTTTATAATATTTTTTTTTCTTAACTATTTAAAGAACTTATCTATCTGTAATCTTGATTATTTTCTTATAACTGTCTGAAATACTTATTGCCTACTTAGATTCAGTATTTTACTTATCACTTTTTTTCTTTTGATATTGATTTTGTATCTATCTGCACAAATCTTAATGACTTATAGTGGATTTCAAGTTCTTATGTAATCTATTAGTCATATTATATAACTATTAATATTTTCTAATAGCCTCACCTAGTTAATAGAATTTTGCTGATAAGCATTTTCCATTGCTCAAAAAATCAGATTCCTTAATAGTCTTTTTGTTTTGCAATAGTAGAAGGGTTTCACAGAGTAATAAAGATTCTTATTAATTATGATATCATTATATAATATTTGGAAAAATATATTCTCAATCCTAGAGAAGGGTAGTGGTTCATAGTCTTTTGCTTTTCAGTCTTATTACCTAACTAGGATAAGAAAATAATCTTCTTTGTGTACTTTATCTGATTGGGACAATAAGAAGTTGAAAACCTCGGCTTAAACAAATAACCATCTTTTTACTATTTAAGGAATTTAATGTCTATCCTAATAATCCATAATTTTATTGTTTTGTTTATACTTCATTTAAAGAAGTGGAAAATTTTATATCAATTGATTTTCTTTCTTTTTATTAATAGCATCATCAGAATATATGAAGTGATTAGTAGATACTTGTTTACATTCAACTACTAAAGTATTTCATATCCACTATATTTTGCAATAAGTTGTGCCACTTAAAATTCAGGATCAAACTAAGATAGATAAAATTCTTCAGAAAATCAAAAAATTTTAAATAACTATAAGAGTAAAGATACAATAGACAGATGTCTTAAAATATGGCTTGATATTCACTACTTTTTACTGCTAAAAATTTCTATAGACATGCTTCAATATAATAGGCTTTCAGTACTACACTATTGATTATTCTTTTTTATAGAACTTTCTTACAATTGATAAAGGTGTTTCTTGATTTTTTTAGGTCACAAAAATTCAAGTTTTTGTTTGAAAACAAATATAAGCAAGAGAAAGGATTTGAGAATATCTTTTGAAATAAAACTTTAAGTTGATTTAAAAATAATATTAAGACTTTATTAGTAAAGAAATAAAAAATTTCATGCAAACATCTTTTTTATGTTTAAGTAGAGAATTAGTAAAAAGAATTTTTTTATTTTTTAAAATAATTTTGTTAAATAAAATTATTTATATATTGTTTACTATATTATTTTAATAGATATTTTATTTAATTTAATATTTTTTCATTTTATTTTTGAAAGTTTTTAAAGCTTTTTTAATTAAATTATTAATTTTTATATTGAATTAATTATTCAAATAGATCTTATATTTAATAAATTTTAGTTATATATATTATATATATATTTAAATCTAATAAGAATCAGTTTTTTTTTTATATATTATCTTAAAATCTTTTTTTCTAAGATTTTTTTATTTGAAAATATAAAATTAATTATTAATAAAATTTTTTACTTTATTATCTATCTTTTTTTTTTTTTGCCTTCTGTCAGGCTAGTTACATATACTTTATTAAACAATTGTAAGCTGTACATATAACATGAGGTGCTAAAGCTAATTCTTTAACTAACTCACTCATCTAGGTTATTTTACTTTTCTAAGTGCAACTTCAGGAGTAATTTATCGCTCCATTAAAAGTTCAGATAAATACTCTTCTAACTTCTAACATTATTGCTTGTAGATTCCTACTACAGATTTTTTACTTTATTATCTATTAAAATTACTAGTATTATTATGAATAATACTATTAGTTCTGCTCTTATAAAGAAGAATTCAGTTTTAATTTTTATTTGTAATCTATTTTTTTTTTTATATTTATATTTATATTATTTTCATCTTTTTATTTTTAATTTTATAGTTAATTAAAAATTTACTTAAATAAAAGAATAATTTTTTTTATAATTCTTGATTATAATAAAGTATTTCTATTAAAAATTTAAATATACTTCTTTTTTAATATTGCCTTCAATTATTTCTTAATCTTAACATTTGATTAATATTTATTTTACTTTTTTATTTAAAAAGTTTTTTTAGATTTTTAATTTATAAACTTAAGTATAATTTATATTAATAAGTTTAATAAATATACAGTTGCTTTCAAAATTTTGAGTTTATTTACTATGTTTTTATTATAAATTTCAACTTTAACAATTTTTAAATCATTAATTATATAGTCAAAAATTATAAAATTTATACATATTATGTTTTAATATTTATTATATTTCTTATATTTTTTAAATAAAATTTTTATTAATACATTTTGGAGTTTTATTATTGTTAAATATCTTTATTTTTTTTATTAATTATTATATACTTTATGATAATAACTAATCAAAATCCTTCAAAAATAAAAATTTAATAAAAAAAAAATTTTTTTTTAACCATAATAAAACTTTAAAAATTACCTATAAAAATTTGTTGAAAAAAAAAATATAATAAACAAAACTAGTATTAAGATATAATATATATATAAATTTTATAATTAAGGATTTAAAAATTGTTAAAGTTAAAATTTATAATAAAAACATAGTAAGTGAACTCAAACTTTTGAAAATAATTGTATATTACTATTTTAATTTAATATATTATTACAAAGAAGTTATATTAATACTATTTAAGAATTAGAATTAAAAAAAATCAATTATAAGTAATTGTATTATATTTGTTTAAAATATAATATTATTATTAATTAATACATAAAAAATTTTTTTTTAAAAAATTTATTGGTTAGATAATAAAAAACAATTTAAATTATAAGCCAAATTTTATATATAAATTATTATTAGCTAATAAGTTGATAATAAATAAAACAAATAACAAATCAATAAAATATAAAGATAGATTAAATTATAAGACAAATGTTTTATTTGAATTAATATTAGTTAAAAAGTTAAAGAAATAATAATAATAATAATATGTTAAATAAAGTAAGTATTCTTAAATAAGAAACCTTTTTTTTTTTTTTGAAAAATCCAGAGTTTATAAAATGCAAAGAGTTATTTAAACTAAACAAGCTAATCAAAAAAGTATAAATATCAAAAACTTCATTAATTTACAAGTATTTAAAATCATAATAGGTAATCACTGACTTTTAATTAATGTTTTTAAAAAAGTGATTGGAAATAGGCGAAAATTTTTTATTTTTACAGTATATACAAAAATATTATGCATACAGTATACCGCATATTTTTTAACATCTAAAATATTTAATATAAAATCATTTGATGGATTAATTCATAAAAATCAATCATAATAAGTTTTTAAGAAATTTGTTTGCCAACTTATTTTTAGATCCAGTTTTTTCATGATATTATATATGACATGGATCATACGTATAATATTATTAAAAAGATCATTAATTTTTTGTATATATGAATTTTTTCTAGCCAAAATCACTTATATACTACTTAATTACAACGATAATTTTTTTTTTTACGAATAAATAAAAAAGATACAGTATCATTGAAAAATTCAAATGGTAAATTTATATTATTTAATTGATGGTATTGCACTTAAGAAAGTTGATTTTTTTATTTTAATAATTAATACGTAATTTACAGCTCCATATTTGGAGTATACACTTTCAATATATGAGTTAAAATGTGATTTTTTTTTCTCTTGTCTCCTTTCGATCTTCTTTCAACTGCTTTTCGTCTAAGCGACAAATCATGACTTTTACCAGGCTCCCGAATGAGATAGTAGTTAAAATTTTTAAACTCGTGCTGATTCAATCTGGGTAAAATTATAAAATGATGATATAATATCGCGACAAATGCGTCAAGTGTTGACTTAAACCCTTTCATCTTCAGATTCAAGAAGCTCATTCGTTTATGTAGAACTTGCCGCCTCTTTAATCGACTCATACCTGTGGTCGTACGAGATGTATTGACTGAAACTATTGGAGAAGAGTGGGGATTCCATGTAGGTATTTTTTTACGATCACGGTAGCTCGTCTACATTGTTTAACTAGTGGTGGCTTAACTTTAAAGAAACTTCCGAAGACTAGGTAGTGGAATCCTCTCCCTCGAAATTTCACGATTTCTACCCAAAATCAATTACTTACAACGACGAATCCAAAGTTATCCTATTTGAGTTTGACAAATTTCACAATTTTCAATACAATCTTAATTATTTTTTCAGGGCGATTGTTTCTTACTCCGGAATACACGAAATCTTTAAGAATCATTCGCAAAATGAATTGACAGTTTACTTGATCATGAGGAATGGTGGGAAGTGCATTATATGGGGTACAAACGTTTGCACCCGAGAGTTTGATGGAAGATATGTAAATGAAAATTCGAATGATTTTACAACAGCTAACTTCAGGTTGGGAGCGAAAGAATTTTTCGGATTCTTGGATCACATGTTGAATTATAATTACTTGAGCGATTATGATGTGCGTAGCACCATTTTAAGAAACTTGTAATTCGTGTAGATGATGTAAATAAAAGATTCGTTTTTTTTTTTAGTTACAAAATAATAAATCGGAGATGCAAAATACGCAGTGTTCCTTCTTGCCATACCACATTATTTATGTAAATGAAAATGGAGTTTTTGAATACATCCTGTGACTTGCGAGGTAAGAGTTATATACAAAACGGCGTGAAAAAAAAAAAAAAAGTTTAAAAAAAAAGAAACACGCGAACAAATAATTAAATTAATAAAATAAGCATGAAAATGAACTAAGGAAAATTCAAAATCGTGTTTTATAATCGAAATAACAGAATGATATAACCTTTTCACCTATTCTCAATCGTTAACAGTTTATCTCGGCCTTCCCCGCTCAACACTTTCTTCACTCTCATTTCTTCGATTTCTACGAGCTCGATTGCTACTCGCATTCCTCCTAAGACCAGCTTGTCTTTGTATGGTAGCTGTTCTCTGGGGTAAAAATCGTTGACTTTCGATCGGCGGAGTGTTTGATTCTCGTCTTTCTACGATATCGCCACCACCAGATGGCATCTCCTCAACATCACTACCAGATGGCCTCTCCTCGACTACACCACCATATATCAACTCCTGCCTGTCAAATCCCTCACTGTCTTGCGCGTATCCTAGTCTCTCCGTATTGCCTTCATCGCCTTCCGGTGTCGAAACTTGTTCTTCGAAACGACTTACGTATGGTTCCCCGACATTCCCGTACGAATGTTCTTGTCTTCCCGTTACATCATATGTTAAATTTTGTTCTTCAAAGGCACTTCCACCATATATCACTTCTTGTGTCAATTCTTGTCTTTCTACAATTCCAGCGGATGGTGCGCCGTAATAAGTGGTAGTCTCCGTCGGATATGATGTTATGGGTCTGGAAGGACTAAGATCATAATGCATCCTGGAGGATGTAGCAGGGGGGTCTGTTGCCAAGGCAGACCTCGATTGCGACGGACTAGCGGTCGACACCGTAGATGGCTGCAATGATCTTGACAAGGAGGAAGCGGAAACATTAGCTGTAACTGAGCTCGGCCTCGAAGAAATAGGACTGCTATTTCTCGACGAAGTCACTTTTGATGGACTATTTGATCTCGATAGAGCTGGTGAGGCTGTTATGCCTGTTGACGTTTTTACCACAGTCGGTAATCCGGTCATTGCTGCTTGTGTTGCACTCTTCACTGAGGCTGTGGTTAGAATATTCCTATCCAAAATTCCCACAGTATTCCTAGACTTCCTGTTCTCGCCGCAACACGAGTTTCTGATGATCACATAGAGAATTATCTCTTCACTTCCGATTTTCCAAATATCCGCCACACAAATCATAATATTCAATATTGCAAATAATATGACAGCTGCAACTGTAGCTTTATACGCTGAGTGTGAAATTGCATTTGAAGTTCCAACCTCAGTAACTTCATTGCTTCCCGCGATAATAGCAGCTATAATTATCAAAAAGTAACCTAGTATTCCCATGAATTGAGATATTTGAGCGTCGTAATTCTTAAGGGAGTCGTAATATGCGTCATTCAGATCACCCGAACCAAAAAAACTCTTGAATAAGTGAACTATCTGAAATGGTCCTCCGTAATATATTTTTATATTTCCATCTCTGCTGGTCCTTGATTCCCTGCCACGTCTTTTCGGGCTAGACCTTGATATCCTCGAGAAAGCGTAGATTCCTACTGCAACTAAGAATACGAGGGATTGTAGCGATAATATGAGTCCAGTAATTCTTCCGATTAAATCCAATTGACCGAATTGCCACAAGTTCAACGCAAAAGAGCGAAACAATAGGTTAAATAAAAATGGCGAAGAATCGCTTGAAAGGGTCAAAGAATTTATTATTAGTGAGGCATAGTAAAGGATTATTGTAATGGTTAAATCTAGTCGGTGAATTTTGAGCTCTCGCATGTCATCCGAGTTAGGTATTTCGCGTGATGGATTATATTCTTGTGTGTCGAGCTCTTTGGTCTCGAAATAATTCTGTGGCATGTCTTTTTCATCATGCCCACTGCCTTCGCCTTCTTGTGAACCATCTCCACGGGGCTGTGAAGAGCTATCGATGGTGATGGCTGTTTGACTGATTTCTCTACTCGCGGTAGCTGGGGAACGTCTCAAATGAGCCTATGTCATTTAAATATGTACATCAATATAAAATTGGTAGTTAATTAGCTTGTTTATGTTGTTTGTTTATGGGACAATATATCAATGTTTCTTGAAGTTAAAGGATTGATGAAAAGTGAACATACGAACTTTCTTTCTGAAAATTTTGCTCATTTTGGTGATCCAAATTTACAGAAATCTTTATTGTTCAACCCAATCTTACCGCCATCCTTTTCTACAATTTCATCAATTCCTAAGAATTATATTCGTGAAATATTTTTAAAGCCTTTACAACAAGTAACCCGACGGACCTTGTGAGTCGAAGTTGAAAGTTATAGATCGGCAGTTACTTTGGAGAAAAGCCGCATGTAACCTTGATTATTCAATAGCCGAGCCTATTCACTGTGTGATCTTGGTAAAGTAGCTTATAATTCTTTCCTGACCATTTCTTGATATTTATGACCATCTTCGATCACACTTACGCAAAATAGTATTCACATGGCGAAAAAAAATTTCTTTCTAGCAGTTTAATTAGCACTCTGTTCCTATTTACGTGCCAAAAGATCATCAAAAGGTGAGGTGAGGCTTTGAAGATTGATGCCTACGCCCTGTACGACGAAATGTTCTTGCGATTCTCCGTTGTAATTTGTCTAAGCCACGGCGCATGCCACATATACAAGGATAGACTTGTAGCGAACTAGCACATTTATTGCTTATATATGTATAAAACCGTATTTAAGTAACCACGTCCTTTTTTATATTCAAGACATCATTATTTCATCATTCGATTATTAAGTTCCGACTAAGCCCGTTCGTTCGTTTGATCACCAAAAAAAAAAAAAACATACCAGTTAATCTATTTATTATGATCAGGAACAAATGTAAATGATCGATTCTTGGTTTTCGCGTTTATACGACACCGACCGATCAAAACGTTTTTTATGCGGGAGAGAAAGTTCGTATCCAATGTTATAACGATAAAACACCCAAATTAGGACTGGACTTGGAAACTTTTCCGGAAAAATTTGCAAGATGGATACTATGTTAGGGACCTAGATTATCCCCTAACGCAGGCTCTTGCATTAGGAATCTGGTGAGTTAGAATGCAAAGTCATTCTGTTAAAGGCTTGCGCTGCGCTGTAACTTTATTTCGACTCTCGAATAAATTTAGAAAAGAGATGCTGATCATAACACGTTTACAAAGAATAAAAAGAATAATTATAAATCTTTTAACTTTGTCATCTTCAAATTTTGACTTAATTTTCGCGTATTTGTGCCTGCAAAGGATACTAGCTTCCTTTCTTCTTCAAGGCCGAGTCACCGTACTTTGATGAGATGCATAGAATTCTTGCTTTCTTGGTGTGTGAACTAGGCACCCAAAATATAATATAGTTGTTTTTACGGTTAAATGCTGCGCATATTCAATGTCCTCTATTAGGTCCAGACCCAAGCCATGTGTTCGTGTAATTTGCTTATGCCAATTTTTTTTTTTAAAAAAAAAACTTAAATATTGGAATGATATTATTTTTCAATATTGTGAATAGTATATGCATTGTTTATTATTGTTGTTTTGTTTTAAATTTGTTTATAAATTCTTACAAATCTAAATAATTAATTTTATGAAAAAAAATATATATTTTTAATATATTGTATCAATAGTTTTGAAATTATAAAGTTTTGTTATTTTGTAGAGTTCTTTGCAACTGTATTTTTTATCAAAATAATTCAGTCATATTGTTAATCTTTAATTTATAATCAACAATCATTTGCTTTTCAAATTTGTTTTTTAAATTCTTGCTTCTGGATTTGTTAGACAAAAATATTTCAATAATACAATATCTTATTAAAATAAAGCTATAAATATGGTCTTAAATTTATTTTGTCAAAATTAATTTATTTATATTGATAATTAATAATGATAACTTTATTTGTTCCAAATATAACAAATATTTATATTGAATTTTTGATGTTGAATATTTTTCTTTTACCAATAACTTAATTTTTTTAAGTAGTTGGATCAGCCTTACTTTATTTGGATTAAGTAGATAAAGTATATATGTTAATTTATGCTAGAACTACCTATATTAACCAAGTAAATTTGATAGAAAAGGATTTTATTTCATGACTTGTTATCATCCTTGTTGGAAAATTAATTGGTCAAGACTGGATTAGTACTATATAAAATTTAAAAGATATTATATGGATGTGTTATATTTTTAATAAATTTACCTATATAATTGTTATTCAAGTTAATTAATTGATCTTTTATATATCTTTATATCTTATTAAGCTGGTCACTTTTCAGTAGGATATTGTATTTTATTGACTTTTCAATTTTTTTTTTTATAATGTCTTATACTTCTTTTAATCTGTAAAATTTTTTACATCTTTCTTTTTAAATAATATAAAAATATTTATTTATCTCTTTTTAGATCTCATTTATGTATTATTTCTTGTTGGAAAGATCTAATATATATTTATTATAGTATTGAATATTTCTTTTAGGACAGTTCCTTTAATAAAACATTTTAAATATTCTAAAAAACATATTGAAATATTATTTCTATATTTTTTGTATATATATTTATATATATTTATATATTTTTACTATATTTTATTTTTGATTAATTATATCTTAAGCATATGTTTATGTTTTTTAGTATTGTTTTATATAAAAATAAATAAATGTTTGTTTTTTTATTATTATAATTAAAATGTTTATAATATTTATATCGAATGATATAATATTGAAAAAGTATAGTTTTAATAAATATTTCTTTATTTAATAGGCTAAGGTTAAACTTTCTTTGTTATTAATCTTTTTAGTTGATTATATAACTATCTAGTTATGTTAATTGAAAATTTTTCATTGTTATAAGTCAATGAATATAACTAATTATCTTATCACTTAATTTATTTTTTGTCTTATTAAAAAGTCTTCATTTTGTTATATGTATTACTTTAATCAGTTCTTTAGTTATTCATTTAATAGAAACCTTGTTTTCTTGTAATTTCACTAAAAAATTAATATATATGACTAGTTTTATATAGAAAAATATATATTGTTCTATATTTAAAAATCATATTATTATTGATATTAATATTGATTAATTGATCTATTTATTTATTGTATTTGCTCTCAGTGTATACTTTAACTTTTATAAATTCTAACTTGAGTTAATTTCTTAATGCTATATTACAAATTTATTATAGAATTTTTAGTTTTTTTTATTATAATATGAAAATTAATACTACATAGAATTTAATTGGATAGTAATTATTAATAAGAATTTAAAGATACATTTTTAGAAATAGATAGAAAACCTTTTCTCTTTAACTAAAGCTGCACTAGTAGTCATTATAATAGTAACAAGTATATTGTTATATTTAATAGAATAAATATTTATATAAATAATTAGGTTATTATCAATAGTATATAAAAATAATAAAAAAAAATTATATATACTATATAATCTAAGAAAATAAAAA